TCTTTTTTCCCAGACTAAACCGAATTAACGTTTAAAGTCATTTCCCCATTCTCATTGATGTCTAGTTAATTTTATGCTTATAAATCTCATAGAAAAGAAAAGGATGTATATTTTTAGCGTCTCAAAAGAGTTGAAGCTGCCAAAAGCCGGGTGGTTTGTGTAGATTCCAACATCGCTGCATTGACGCTTTGATGGGAATTTAAGACGATCCGACCAGCAGCCGTTTCGACAGGTTCAACTAATAAGCGCTTCTATTTTTTCCGTTCTTATTGTAAGCTTTTCCATTCCTAATTTACTCATATTAAGTGGGATGTTTTGTTGCGTTAAGTTGGGGAAAAACGGTTTTTTGGCGCTTTTTAAGTCTACCTTCAGGTAATCCGGGGGGCAAATAGAAGTCCCAATTTTCTCCCTTTTGCTGTCTATTTAAAGAAAATAGACCTTTTCAAACCAGTCACAAAACAATAATGAGAAGAAACAAATACTTCAAATGTAACTTCGTACTTAAAACAAGGGAATTTCAAGGATGTTTTTCTCTTGAAGAGCTGATGGCAACACAGCCATCGGAATTGCCCTCAGAAACGAACTGGTTGCTTAAAGTTTTCGTATTCTAAAAAGTGGCTCTTTGTTTCCATTTTTCGATAATTTTTACTTGACGCGCACTGAATCCCTTCAAAGTGTCCGCAGAAGTAGCTAAGGGAGATGAAGAATGCGTTAAATTCATTCATTTGGTCATTCCTACGCCCTCCTAATGGTATTGACGCCCAATTGAAGGAAACAGGGAGGGCTCAACTCCAAGACAACGCTTTAAAAACCAGAATGTGTTTAAATTCTACAAACTCTACGAATTGTCCAGTTATCTCTGCTACTTCGATGGAGTCAACAGGTCATCCAACGGTCTTTGTCTTCGTCACTCTGGTAATCTTTTAACTTTTATGTTTGGGAGATCCTCTCTAATCCCAAGACCTCTTAGGCATTTCGCAATCCAAATTGCATCAACTTGGAGTATTCTTGAGGCTGCTCTCTAAAAAACAAGACAAGAAGTCTTTACTTTGTAATAGGGCTTTATCATATCCTTCCATTTTACCCATCCATCCATTAGTCCATTCGAAGACATTCATTTTCAATCGGTTGATACAACTCAAGCAGAATTAAAAGCCAATTTTTCATTTATTTATCATTTGTAAAAAAAACCTTATTCCTTTTTTTAAAAAAAATATTGATTTGAACCCAACTTTCTCACTTATCACCGGAAAGGTCCAACAGTCAACAGTATTCAACTTATTTAGCCGCTTTGGCTTTTAATGCATTAAAACGCGCGGACTCTTTCATTCCTTTTTATTTCCTTCCTGCAGTGAAGTATTGGTCACTTTTCATCCACAAGATTCCGAACAACTTTTTGTTCCTATATTTCCCGTCTGCGTTGGTGTAACCCTGAGCATCCCACCACAAGCTGCTATTTGTCTGATCTCAGTTTCAACTCTATTGTTTTTAGATAAACCCTCGACTAATTATATTACCTTCCAAAGGAGACAAAGTCCTTGCAAAAATCCCAACGTTTATTTTTCCTCTTTTCGAGGTGTTTAAGGGTGTGCTGGATGTCGGAATTTAGGACAGATTCCACGACTCAATTTAAACAACGCAACCGAAGAAGACGCATAACACCGCGAGCTAATCAAATTTCGCTGATGTTACTTATTTTCTACGGAGTGGCTACTGACTCCTAACCTTTCTTCTTATTCGCAATCAACAACTTTTCCAATTTGAAATGGCCTATTACGACTTTGTGGAAGATATGGGAGGCCAAACTTGTTGCGGTAGGGAGTAAATGCGGTCGGAATGTTAAAGAACCCCAAATCCGATAACTAGGCAGGAGGTAAAAGTGTTCCTGACCTTCAACAGAAAAGATATCGAAGCCACGTCCCCAGCATCGTAATCACCCCCAATCCCGCTTGTTGTAAGAAGGAATTGACAACCGACCTAAAGGACTTAAAACAAGCCAAAGTCTTGCAGAGATTTGTGGCTTACATGCCTTCAGTGGCTTCCTTTGCACCAACTACGTTGTGATGGAAGGGAGCCTGACCACAGGAAACGCTGGACACGAGACTTAGAAGAAGAAGACTCTCCGCTTTTCGCATATTCGACCTTTTGTCTTGGCATCCAGGCCTACAGTACGTGTCTCCAGCCTCAGAGCCTCTCCATACGTTTTTGATTTATCTTCATGAGTCTTAGTCAGGACCAATCCTATAGGGGCCCGGACGGAAATCAGCGGCAGCTAAGTTTCCCCTAGTAAAGGACTAACCAATATCTAGCAATGCATTTCTGGACTTTATGTAGATGTGTTTTTTAATCGGTAAAATTTCCGAAGCATATTGTCTGGAAGGGGAACTAATTGCCTCTTGGAGGTATGTACATCAGGTCGGAGGCCTTCATTGCCATCACTGAGTTCACGCACCTGCCGGATGGCGTAACCGAGTATTCAAGGATATTGGCGGTGACAGTGCTTTGAATGCCTTTGTTGGCCCCACCAAGAAAGTCTATTTATCTAAAAAACTAAGCGGCTTTTGAAGCTTTCTGGACTGTTCAGGATTTAGGAGCCTTAGAGACAACTTCCCAAATGCTATGGCTGAAGTGCTTTTTTTGCAGACATTTCCAGAAAATTTTCATTTCCGCCTCAGGGAGTAGCTATGCTGCTTCAGACACAAGAATCTACGAATTCAAGGCTCCAGTGCGCTGTTGACCCTCCTGCTCCAGAGGCGATTAATCTGTGCCATTCAAGTCATCACCAATTCAACTGACCGGAAAGCTAAACTGCTGCAAAAAGCTCAAAATATACCATTTGGACAACTCATTCTGATTCCAGGATTACATAAGGAAGTAACAAAGTAGTGAAGTTTTGTTTTTAATACATATTATTAGAACA